AAGACAGTAGTCTTGACACGTAATAAACGATCGAAACAATAACATTTACACAGCGAAGAAAAATACCACTGTCTTTTTAATTAGCGCATTCGTTATATATGTGAAAACTGAGAGTCAGTCGCTTGCCGAAACCCGTGATCAAACTAGGGACATTAATATCTTCAGTCCAACGCCCTCCCAACTTAGTGATCGAATTACAAAGCTGATGTACTATCATAGGGAAAGGTAACTAGAGGTCATAAGTAATGTAAGAATATTTCTTGTTTTTACCAATTATCTGTGGGTCACACTGCTGCTGCGTAAAAGCAGATGGGCTCAAGGTCAATCAATCTGGATTTCCTCCTCACCGATGAACTTGCAACGTATTTGTCCAAGGTTGGTGGTCTAGATATATGCTCTCCAGAACTCAAAAATTCAATAAGTCAAGTACTAGAAAAAAGATCTGTTGTCCCGTACTCAGTTTTAAATGACTGCTATCACTTAACAAAGAAGCTCTCGAGTACAGGCAAAGACAATATTTATCTCCAATTTTGGCGCATTTCTCTAAACACCTCAGTAGTCCTTCCAGCGATAAAGCAGACTTTTAAAAATCAAGGTCTCGATGCTCATTTTGAAGAACTAAGAAATAAGTATAATAACAAATGCTACGAAAAAATAACGAGAGATATTGGTACACCCATGGTCTTTTCAACAACTTCCAAGGCCCAGAAAACTTGCTTTTCTGAACTCAAATGCGCTAGGAAACAATTCGTTATGGTTCTCAATTTTATTGTTATTGTGATGTCCGCCTTTACGTTCGGATATTTCCTTCCTAATTTAATGCCCTCCAGTTATCCCATATCACTCTTCTCGCGTATTGTCTGTGGTTTGTTGTGCGCAGTAATAGTTATGGTTGCTGACTTTTACTTCCTAATTAGAAATTTTAGTTTATTGGAGAAAGTTTATGGGTGATTTTTAAATTGTAATGTTATGGGATTTTCAGATTTATTGATAGATAACTTTTGATATCTCGTACAAATTTGTGCAGCCTTTCCAACTGTTTTTTTCTTGGATAAACCTGCGGTCGAATGCATCTTCCAGATTTCCGCTCTCAGTTCCGTCTATCAATACTTACAGGATAATAAGTAACATGAAATGTTGATTCTCTAATAACCTTTGTTCTCTGTCATGACTTACTATCACTAGGTAAGAGTTTGCAACTTCAATTCATGGACTAGTTAAACTCCTACAGTCCAAATCAAACCAATAGTAAAATCATTAATACCCTTGGCGTAGAACGCTCTTTCCCGACACAATAAACGGTAGATCGCGGTTTAATATACTTAAAGGTTGCCAATTGTTGGATAGTACTCCACGAGTGCATCATATCAACATCTGACTTGATTTTATTGTTTGTTGACATTGTAATAATCGTCTTGTTCTGGAAAATATGTGCCTATTGATGAACTAGGTTTCATGTGCACCAGGACGTGAATATCAGAGGTTTGCTGACTGAATAGAAATGCATGACAAAAGCTAGTTATCTAACGGGACAGTTATACTATGGAATATTCTGGTCACTCCACCCCATAAAAAAACTAGAACTGAACGATATCGAAACTTCATTGTTTCCAAACGTTTATATCTTCATAGAGTATCTGGCGTGCTTACACCTCAGGAATAAACGTTAGGTTCAGATTTCTTGTCCATAAAGTTGAATTAGTCGATTAAGTCTAAACACCAAACTACCTAAAATATATCCCACATGTCAACCTGCCGCTTAACTTGCAGTTTGTTGTACACACATGTGTGACAACTGAGTTTTGCTTTTTATTATATTCAAACAAGTGATAAGCATGAAAGCCATACATTTGAACGTCCCACGAATAACCGATTCGCTTTCTGGCATTTTTAATACAGTTTTAATGTAACTACAGCTACCATTGTCACTGCATTAATAGGCCTAAAACTGTAGTCCAAGCATAAATACTTATCTGTATTTCTTTCCGAAAGCAACACAATCTTCGTTGTATTTGACACGTCGAAAATACGGCTGATTTTGTTTGTCTCTACCTTGTTTCTAACATTTAAAGTGACGATGGACAACTCTGATCCATATTAACTCCGCACCTGTAATATAATAACGTTCGTTTATATTCCTGATACCTCCGATTATCATTATGCTGAAAATTTTAGAGAATAGACAATATAAATTGTGTAGAATCCTCCTACTCGTAATTTACGGTATAGTTATGACTTTGTTTCCGCTCATTGGTTTTGAAATTATAAATTAGCATATATTAGTGCCAAACTTTTACTCTGGTCCTGTGGACCTGCACAATAAACTGTTACACAAAATCGAGGGAAAGTATTTATCTTAGAACAACAGCACATATATGGAGCGAGAACAAGCAATAAGGCACCCGTTGATTTAAAAAATATCAATGGGCTTTGAAGCGAAGGTCACTAATGTTACTTCACAAATGTCTTCGAAGCATCGCTCGTATGTGTTGAAAACACTGAGTGGGCAATATTGAGGTTTGAGTTAAGGTTGCAAACGAAGATAGTAAGTTGGTCAATGGAGTGGTGTATCTTCATCAATTAAGATGGTTAGGACATGTGTCACGTGTGCCCAACCGCCTCCTACCTCGATGAGCAACGTTGGTCTAGAAGTAGGTTGGATGAAAGACAGAGGCGGCCAAACTAAAACTTGGCATCAGCCCATGACGTCATTGATAACTGAACCAACTCATGTAGATAGGTGTAGACTGCCTGGTTGGTGTTTACGCATTTAGCATAACCCGACCGTTGTTGCTACCTTGACGTGGTGGTCGGGCTTGCCTATCGTGATGAAGCAACCCAGCTATACTGGGCGGAACAACTGTTCCTCAAGGTCCTACCATGTCAGAAAGGTCGGTCGATGAGCGGTAAAACTAAAAGCAACAACCCCAAGGTCCGAAGTCGTACTGCTGACTGTACAGAGGTGTGACAGCAGTAAGGTGTTCCCTTCGGACAACCAGCATGACAGCGATGCTGCCACAAGGAAGGGTGGGGTTAGAAAAGGTCGACCCTAAAAATGCACACCTCGCCTTACCCCACGGATATCCGTCTCCGGCGGTAAGGTCTCAACAAGTACGGAGCTAACACGAAAATTACTCATAAAAAGGTCGTGTGTGACCGACCTCAAGCAGTTGTCTCCTGGGCACTACGGTTACGCTCCCAGGTCACTAAGACCACCTCTAATCCAATTTCCTTTTCAGGTACCTCCATACGAACCCTTCCATGGTGTGGGCAACCGGGAAATGATAACCGCCCTCATACCTCTAACAGCACTCAAGACCACTGTATCCATAATCAACCTCCGTCTTCACTTTCTATTATTCCTCCTACATCGACTTTCACCTCTAAACTTCCTTTTTGGGCTTTCTCCTCAAATATCATCATAGCCAACGATTCTAGTGCTCAAAACACTGTCCCAGGTCTACTGAAACCTCGCTCCACACTACACATTAGAGCCTTCAACGTACGCACCCTATGTCGAATCGGTCAGCAGGCTTCATTGGCTAAAACCCTAGGATCCCGTACCATTGATGCATGTTGTGTCTCTGAAACACATACCGGATCCCAGTGTGGTCATTCACTTGACCAACGAGATACACCCTCCGTGTGTCTAGTGACCGGACGGCCAGCTCTCGTGGACTGGCAGGAGTAGGGATAGCACTAAGCATAAGGGCGTAACAAGCAGTGTTGACTAATATTTTAGCTAAGATGTGGGAATTAGACGTTATTCCATCTGACTGGTCACAATCACTTATCGTACCAATATATATGAGAGGGTTAAAATCATCCTGTGATAACCATAGAGGGATTAGTCTAACTAATATAGTATCTAAAATACCAGCCTCGATAATTATCAGACGCTTAACTAAGACTCGTGAACTGCAAACACGAGAGAATCAAGCTGGCTTCAGACCTGGTCGTGGCTGCATCGACCACATATTCACCATTCGTCAGGTTCTAGAACAAAGGCATACTTACCGGCGTCCGACAATGGTGGCATTTGACTCGGTAGACCGCGAGATTCTGTGGCAGTATCTGTCATTGAAAGGCGTACCTCAGAAGTACATAAGCCTTGTAAAGGCTCTTTACTTGAACATTACCAGTCGAGTGAGAGCTTATGACGAACTGTCATCTGCTTTTGCAACCTCAAGTAGTGTCCATCAAGGCTGTCCACTTTCTCCATTTTTGTTTAACTTCATCATAGACCTACTGATGGAAATAACTTTCTCGTCTACTGAATTCTCGGGTATTGATCTCCCTCCAGGAGGTCCACTTATCGACTTAGAATACGCAAATGACATAGTACTGTTTGGTGAAGACGCTGATAAAATGCAGTCTTTTGGTAGCACTAAGCAACAATGCCAGAATGTTTAGAATGCGCTTCTCTCCCTCTAAATGCAAGTTGTTGCTTCAGGACTGGTCTGCGTTAACACCTGAACTAAGGATAGGGAGTGAAGTAGTCGAACGCGTTGACAACTTCACTTATCTTGGAAGTCTGATCAGCCCTAATGGGTTGGTGTCTGACGAAATCTGAGCACGGATTCGAAAAGCTCGTTTAGCTTTTGCCAACTTACGTCACCTATGGCGAAGACGAGATATCCGTCTACCAATAAAAGGACGAATATACTGCGCGGCAGTCCGTTCTGTTTTAATTTACGGCAGCGAAACATGACTAGTATGCGATATAATTTGTCCTAAAGTTGTTCTCCCAGAACAAGAACAACTTGGCTTCTAGATTTATCTATTCCTAAACATAAACAATTCGGTTAGTACAATAATTAAAAGGATTGTAGCCAATAAGTGAAAGGCAAGTTTTGAAAATACTATCTATCAGTACTCCACTAAACCGAGACCTTAAAAGTCATAATCGCTAATTGTATATTGATAATCACTGATAGTCTAAAACATCACTGAGTAGCTAGTTGAGAAGTATATATTTGCAAACCAAAAAAGTAAAGACCGTAGAGTATAAACTACAAATAATTTGAAGAACATCCTCTTTCTAAATGTTCATTATGCAGCTATTAGCAAGATGAAACAAACTTCTAGGCATAATTGTCTGTATTCGTTCGTTTTCTTCGAGATTATTGTACAATACGATATCCTGGTTATTATGCATCATTCTGAAATCGATGTACGCTTGTGTAAAAGACGGCGTTCACGTTCGTATTCCTTCATTCTATACAAATGGTCATTTTCTTTACAATGAAGATATTTATGTTTCTGATCGGAACAGAAAAAAGCTGGTATAGCATGTTCATCTAAGCATTTCCTGAAAGCTAGCAAAAGGTGAGCGCAGTAATCTCGTTCGTAAGGTTTTAGTCTTGCAGCTATCATTTCTTCGTTAGTCAGCTAAAAGAAAAAACGTAGTTCATGTTGGAGTTATTGAATTACAAAAAAAAATTATCAAGTGTCTTCAGTATCCAGATGACAGCATAAGATAGTTATTGGTCGGTCAGGTAGGACCAGGCGCATATATGCATCGGTCCAAGTTGCCATACCTCAACAACAAGATGAACACCGAATACATAGACGTAGTTAGTTCACTGGTAGTAATATATAAAAAAAGGCTGCATAGAATGATATGACTGAGAGAGGAAGAATTAGTTCATAGAAAGAAAGGTATAAAGTAATCCCATGGTTAAAGAGAAGACAGAGAGTGTATACACCTACGCCATCGTGATCGATTCTGAGCCAGTCATCAACCATTGGGTACGATAGTCACACGGACCCCAACCAAGTAGTCTGCATCTACCAACATGTCTAAGACGAGGAGGTAGTGACTTCAAAAACTGATGCTATGTTTTGGTTTGACCGCCCTTAACTTTCTTTTAATGATCTCCAACACTAATCAGCATTGCGCGTCGTGGTAATCGGTGTTCGGGCATACGTAACACGTAGCCCAACCATCTCAGTCGATGAAGATTCACAACCTCATCGACTGGTTTACCATCATTCCCTAATACACTGCATCTAACCTCACTATTACTTACGCGGTGATCCCAGCAGACGCCAGCAATATTTCTAAGGCATCTGTGGTCAAATACTAATAGCTTACGAGTGTCTTCTACTCTTAATGGTCATGTTTCGCTGCCGCAAATTAAAACAACGGACTGCCGCGCAGTATACTCGTCCTTTTATTGATAGACGGATATCTCGCCTTCGCCACAGGTGACGTAAGTTGGCGAAAGCCAAGCGAGCTTTTCGAATCCGTGCTGAGATTTCGTCAGACATCAACCCATTAGGGCCGATTAGACTTCCAAGATAAGTGAAGTTGTCAACGTGTTCGACTACTTCACTCCCTATCCTTAGTTCAGGTGTTGACGGTCGATGATGATTCCAAACATCCTGGCACTGTTGTCCAATGCTACCAGAGGACTGTATTCTAGCAGCGTCTTCACCAAACAAAACTATGTCATTTGCGTATTCTAAGTCGATAAGTGGACCTCCTAGAAGAAGGTCAATGTCCGAAGATTCGGTCGATGAGAATGTTATTTCCAGCAGTAAGTCTATGATGAAGTTGGAAAAAAATGACGATAGTGGACAGCCTTGACGGACACCACTTGAAGTTGTAAAATCAGATGACAGTTCGTCATTAGCTCTGACTCGACTGGTAGTGTTCGAGTAAAGAGTCTTCCCAAGGTTAATGCACTTCTGAGGTACACCTTTCAATGACAGACACTGCCACAGAATCTCGCAATCTACCGAGTCAAATGCTGCTTTCAAGTCAAGGAAAATTATCATTGTCGGATGCCGATAAGCATGCCTGTGTTCTAGAGCCTGAATGATGGCGAATATATGTTCGATACAGACACGAACAGGCCTAAAGTCAGCCTGATTTTCTCGTGTTTGCAGTTCATGAGTCTTAGTTAGGCGTCTGACAATTATCGAGGCTGGTATTTTAGATACTATATTAGTTAAACTAATTCCTTTATGGTTGTCACAGGATGATTTTAACTTTCTTTTATATATTGAGACATCAATGATTGAGACCAATTAGATGAGATTACGTCCAACTACCAGATTCTAGCTAAAATATTAGTCGACCTAATCGCTAAAATTTGACCACTATCCTCAGAGACCTCTGGAGTCAACCCATCTGGACCAGCTGCTCTTCCTTGTATCAGACCAGCTATAGCTTTGTGAACTTTAGTTAGAGTCGGGGGGCTACTGCAACGTCCCAATCAGGCTGTTTGGGAAGGGTGTGTAATTTTAGAGTAGCTAAAAGACAGCCGAACTGCTCCTTTCAGTGTTTTGTGAAAACGGACCCTAGTGAACTAGTTCTAGAAAACTCCTTAGCATGTAACCTTGTCTTTTATATTAGACATTGGAAAACTAACCCTTATAATATAAACTCAAAGTAGCAAAAATGGTGTTCTGGGTCACTCTCTTCATTTAATGTGTTTGTGCACTGTGTTGACAATTTTGCTACTCCGACTTTAACATCCTGAAGGAGACTACCTTATCTTCGTTTTGCTGTCCCGCTAACTGAAGCAAAAGAACCATTTTCACAGACGAATATACCGAAGTTAACCAGTGTAATCAACCAAAACAAGCTTTGTCGATTATATATAATGACACTCAGTGTTGATTATGAACTCAAAATATCGTAAAAATGTATTGGGATTTCGTGAGTAGTGTTAATTGCCGAAAAATTTATTTCAACAGAATTTCAACCTGATTGATTTGATCCACTCACGTTGTAATTTCAATGGCATATCCCCAACATTATTTTCGATCGTAAGATAAACAAGTAGCAAGACTTAGTTGATGGTTAAGCCATCTAATGATTACAACTATGTTTTAAATTATTCATAATTTCCAGTGAAAATAAGTTTGTAAATGACTAAGTGAATCGCTTATGATGAGTTCGTCCTGCTGAAAAATTTACTGAGTGAATTCTATGTTAGTCATTTAGTCTTATTCGATAAATAATGTTTCAGGAGGACATTTTATTTATCCAGTAAAATAAATCGCAAGTGGCCGTAGGACAATCCCCAGTTAGTTGCTTTTTGACCGTCAAATGAAAGCTACAAACGGACTTCACCGCAAACAGTGTCCGGTGTCGGACTGATAGCTTCAGGGGACATAACTGACAAAACCTGTTTTAATGTCATTTTATAGGAGGAGGGGAACAAAATGCTACATAATCATATTACAGATTATTAGAAGCCCGTATTAGTTAGTGAAGCTGTGTACTAATTACTTAGGTACTCAACTTTTGTTGTGTAATTACGATCGCTAGCTTCATTCATTTGACATGTGGTCGAGCATCATTTAGGTTAAACGTTATCTGCAAAATAATAAGCGTGAAGTAAATGCTGGTGCTGTCCAGAAGGATAATAAAAGCTTCACAATTAATTCACTCATCATGGAACACAGCATAGTCGAACTACCTTTAGATTTGGGAATAATTTATCAGACTTTCAAAACACTAACTGAGCTTAGAATGGTATCACATTTGACTACAATTCGGTCTGGAGTTGATAGCTCTTTCGAAAATGTATGTTATAACTAATGATTGAATTCATGAGCCGATCAAAGCTAGACCATCACGGAAAACCTGGAAGCATTGGATGGCTGTTTCGTCCTAGTATAGGACGGTGGCGCAATACTGCTTGAAGCTAGATATTAACATAGTTAGATGCCTGTTCAGTGGTCTAGAGGCTAAGCGTTCGCGCACGAGACCGAAGGTCCAGGGTTCGAGTTCTGCTTGTAAGATGGTCGAACACAGAGAGTCGTGTAACATCCTCAACTAGGAGAGGCCAGGTTCCACAAGTATAGAGCAAAACTGCTTTCAACAACGCGTAGTAGATCCGATCTTTTACAGCCAGACTGACATCACGAAGGCGCCAAAGATGGCTCAGATTGGCATAAGCCACTCTGGCTTTCACTATACGTGTGTTGATCTTACCACTCACGCCACCACCAGCACTTATGCAGCTACCTAGATACACGAACTTCTCGACTACTTCTATCTGCTCACCATTCAGTCTGAGTACAGGATAAGAATTCTGTCAGTCTCGTATAAGTACTTTGCATTTCGAAGGTGCAAAGCACATACCGTACCTACGGACATTGGTTGCCAACTGATTAAGTGCGGATTGCATGCCTTGTACATTATCGCACAGCAAGACAATATCATCCGCATACTCAAGGTCGAGAAGTCTTTTTCTAGGCAACAGATCCACACCGCCATTACTTACATCCATCAAAGCTGTTTCCAGAATGTCATCGATGGCAAAGTTGAAGAGCAATGGTGAGATTGAGTAACACTGCCTAACCCCATTGCTTGAATGGAACAATGGAGAAAGGTGGTTGTATGCCCTCACTCTGCCTGAGGTGTTTGTACATAGGGCCTTTAAGATGTTAATAAACTTCTCAGGCACGCACTTCTTCAATAGACAATGCCAGAGTACAGACCTGCCCAACGAATCGAAGGCAACCCTGATGTCAAGAAACACTCAGTCAGTCAGTCAGCTACAACGTAGGACCAGGCACATATGTGCATCGGTCCAGGTTGCCATACCGCATCAACACAACAAGATGAACACCAGATTCATAACAGTGGTTAGGTAAAAGGTGGTAATATATAAGAGAAAGATTGCATATAGAGATATAGTACAAGAAGAAAGAATTGGTTCGTAGAAAGAAAGATATGAAGCGATTTTAATCTCATAGTTTAAGGGAAGAAACCGAGTGTATACACCGACGCCATTGTGATCGATTCTGAGCCATGTCACCAAGAGTCTCCAACCATTGGTTACGATAGTCACGCGGACCCCAACCAAGTAGTCTACATCTACCAACATGGCTCAGACTAGAAGTTAGTGGTTTGGCCGCCCCTAGCTTTCTTCCAACCATTTCCAATACCGGATAGCATTGCACGTCGTGGTAATCGGTGTTCAGGCATACGTAACACGTGGCCCAACCATCTCAGTCGATGAAGATTCATAACCTCATCAACTGATTTACCATCCTTTCCTAATACCCTGCGTCTAACCTCACTTTTACTTACCCGGTTATCCCAGCAGACGCCAGCAATATTTCTTAGGCATCTGTGGTCAAATACTAATAGCTTACGAGTGTCTTCTACTCTTAATGGCCATGTTTCGCTGCCGTAAATTAAAACAGAACGGACTGCCGCGCAGTATACTCGTCCTTTTATTGATAGACGAATATCTCGCCTTCGCCACAGGTGACGTAAGTTGGCAAAAGCCAAACGAGCTTTTCGAATCCGTACTGAGATTTCGTCAGACACCAACCCATTAGGGCTGATCAGACTTCCAAGATAAGTGAAGTTGTCAACGCGTTCGACTACTTCACTCCCTATCCTTAGTTCAGGTGTTAAC